TAACCCGTGTGAGCGCTCGGGGGCCGCTCTGCTGCCCGGCCACGCCGTTGCAAACGCTGCTGAGAGTGGAACAGGGCAGGGGCAGGGCCGCGGTGCCCAGCGCAGAGGCCAGGCAGAGCCCGGCGAGGCTGAGCGGGAGATCAGAGTGCAAAGAGGGGGAGCGTGTGGGCCAAGTGGGGGCGTAGGTGGGAAGAGAGTGCGGAAGGGAAGCCCGTTGTTTCCCCAAGCAAAGCAACCTCCCCCCCAATAGCCTGGGGTTCTATATCATGAAGGGAGGGCAAGCGGGCGCCTCAGAGGCCGCGTCGGGCAGCCTGGGGGGTGGGCTCGTCTCTCTCATGCGCGTCCTTCCGGCGGGGCGAGCCTGGCCTGGCTAGCTGCCACCCAGAGGCTGCGGTATTTCTTGGAGTGCCTCTGGTTTCCCGAAACCAGCGCGTCGGAAATTCCCCCCTCGCCGTGCACCCCCTGAGAGGAGAGAGGCTGGAACGCGGTCAGCGCGATTTCGAAATCGCCGGGGAAGGGCATTTGCAGAACATCCTGTGGCTGAGCAGTCCCGTGGGGCTGGGCTGGCACGCCGGGATGCGATCTGCTCTGCAGAGGAAATGAAAGCGAAGGGACCGATCCTGCAGAGCTGGGGATCAGAGGGCTCCGGGGCTTGCCGCCGCAGGTTTTAAAACACAGCGTAGACCTACCCTCCGTCATTGGCTCCATCCGCTCCCCCCTTCCCCACAGCTGGGCTCAGGGACTCGGGGAGCAAGGAATAAAGTTCTGAAGTGCCCCTGAGCCGGGTCCTGCTGGGTGTGGCTCAGTGTGCTAGTGCTGTCAGGCAGTGGAGTCCTGTTGGATAAAGCTCTGCACAGGAGAAAATTGCTGTACAAATCTGTAACCCCGGCTGTCTCTGCTCTGTGCAGCAGGACCGCTCAGAACTGCTCGGCAGAACTCAGAGCCTGAAAGCCCAGGCTTCCTGAGCTAAAGGTAGCTGTTAGCAGTATAGGGCCTAGGACACAGAGCGG